TTCAAATATTTTTTGAGTTGTACACTCTTTCCCTTTATGGTACATTCAAATATTGTTTTGTAATTATACACTCTTCCCTTTATGGTACATTCAGATATTGTTTGTAATTATACACTCTTTCCCTTTATGGTACATTCAAATATTGTTTCGTAGTTGTACACTCTTTCCCTTTATGGTACATTCAAATATTGTTTCGTAGTTGTGCACTCTTTCCCTTTATGGTACATTCAAATATTGTTTCGTAGTTGTACACTCTTTCCCTTTATGGTACATTCAGATATTGTTTTGAAGTTGTACACTCTTTCCCTTTATGGTACATTCAAATATTGTTTCGTAGTTGTATACTTTTTCCCTTTATGGTACATTCAAATATTGTTTCGTAGTTGTGCACTCTTTCCCTTTATGATACATTCAAATATTGTTTTGTAATAAAAGCTATTATTCATTTCACAAAATACATTAAGACATAACTACACATCAAATACTGGACACTATGAAATATGGATTGAGTTAGCCTGCTTCAATGATAGAGCCACCCAGTGGCACAGCGGTATGTCTGCGGACTTCTACTGCTAGAAACCGAGGTTCAATACCCATGGTGGGCAGAGCACAGATGTCCCTTTGTGTAGCTTTGTGCTTAATAACAAACAACAACCAATGATAGACGTTTACACAATGATATTTATTACACCAACACTCTTGTTTCAATTGGGCTAATTGAAGCCAATGACAAATAAGTAAGTAAGACATTAACATCATCCAAAGGCTTCTCAAGTTTCAACATGTTAAAAACTGAGAAAAAGAAAACACACACAAAACAGTAACGTTCAGACAAGAGAATTGTGCGATTCGAAGATTTTCAAAACCAAATCGGTTCAAACCATTCTCAGAACTAACTGCAGCATCAATACAGGATATGCATAAAGTTCGAATCAGCATTACCTAGAACAGTTCAAACGTGGCTGTAACAAGCTAGTCTGCATTAATTTTGAGCCGCTGCATAACGGCTCATAGAACGGCTCCGAGGTGTTGTTTTTGTGTGTGTTTGTTTCAAGTACAAACATTTAGCTCATAGATCCATCTCATGACCGATTTAAGATCTCATTACAGCCATGGCTGTTCAGAATTCCCTCTTGTTGTTGTTTTTTAAACTAAAACCATGTTCAAGCGTTCAAACCTCTAAGGATTAACAGAAAAAGTGGGACAGTATGGACGGACGAAATCAATATTAAGCTTTTAAGAAACTCTGTACTACATTTATTTTACAAAGACGCGACCATGAGAAGTGTAAGCAAAAAAGTGCAACGTGTATTGTTCTGTCGCGCAGGAGCGGAGGATATCGTTGAACTTGATGATATTATGAAGTGGAAGTATAGTGTCATATCTTCCTTGTAAATTACGCAGTACTCAGTGGATCAGGTTTAATTGGTCATAGTTGAGAATTTCAGCAGGATAATAATCCAGAACATACTGCCTTGCTAAATAAGAGCAGGGACGGTGCTAGCAGGGGTGGGGTGAAGTTGACTTCCCCAAGATAATGCAGTCCATTAATCTAGTTATATTTGGCCCCGTTATATGTCTCATTGTCCCCACCCAGTTAAAAAAAAAGTGGAAGCCAGGGCGGAATAAGTGGTATTTGGAGGAGAATGGAAATAACTGATGACATACGAGCTAAGAAATGGACAGTCCAAAGTCTCGATGCTAATCCAATTTATAATTTGTGACACCAGTTGAAAAATTAGTGTTGCAAAAAAGAAGCCATCTTCTCTATCTTATATTTGGAAAGCAATAATAATAATGATTGAAAGAAATATCAGTTGATGGTCCTAAAAAATTGATAACATGCATGCCCGATCAATGTCGTCATAAAGCTAGGGTTAAAGGGGCCCCTATCAAATACTGAATATTCAATTTGTTTTGTTTCAAGATGAGCTTTTTATGTCTAGTAAAGTAACACTGAATATAACTATAACACGTTAACCAAAACAACACTATTCTTTTTCAAGCTATATCTTGGACTCAGACTTTTGATCGAAACAGTAAAAGTTTTTTGTTCTTTTTCAAGATAAGAAAACATTTAGAGATAATTTCACTAAGAAATCGAGATATAGGGGGCATATAGATGTGACATATAAAATATGCTTAAAACTGTTGTCGGTGGTGATGGTGTCGTGTAAAGCTATAAAAGGAGCTGTCTGTACTCTGCCCACCTAAGGAAATCGAACCACAAATGTTAGCGTTGTAAGTCCCTAAAAATTACCGCTTACCCATCGGTAGACAAAATCAAAAAATACCTGACGTACGTGTTTACTATTTTGGTTCCAAATAAATACAGTGTATAATTACTACATTATTTTCCATAATGAGGCACTTTTAGCTCAGTGTTTAGAGTTACCATAAATCCAAAAGAAGATAAACCACATACGTCAAGGATAGCACCAATCAGAGAAGATGTATTACTATGAAAAGCTTACAGAATACTGCCGATTATTCATTTATCGATCATTTAATTTTTTAAACTTTATCGGTCGTTTAAGGGTCCATTAGAAGATACCCAGAATATCTCATAATTAATTATAAAGTGTTTTATTAACAAGCCTAAGAAAAAGATTAAAATCTTTACAGCTGCCAATCAGAGAAAAGTTGATGTATCTTAGATTATGACGAACAGTAAGTAATACATAAAAGTTTGCTTACTTACGTAAACATGACTCTTGAGTTTATAATTATCAAAATAAAACTAATTAATGGCAGACGTTATTCAAGGGGAAAGATGATAGATGGAAAGCCGTTGGACAATCTAACTTTCTCTATATACTGAACGGTAGCTTTTATCTGATGATCCATATATTTGTTTTGTTGTTAAGCGTAATGCTATCTGCGTTGTGCTCACCGTAGGAATCTAATCTCGAATTTTAGTAATATAAGCCCTTAAGCTTAACCGATGAGCTATCAGATGCCGCTGGTGAATGATTTTAATTTTGCGCAAAGATACACGAGGGCTCCACTAACCGTCCCTAATTTAGCAGCAAATCCTGGGCTACTCTTTTACCAACGAATAGTAGGCGTGACGGGGATTCGAACCCGCGACCCTTAGATTGCGAGTCGAGCGCTCTAATCACCAGCCCGTGATGAGTTTTTTGTAACTGCAAATAGTGAAAACCGAATAGTTACGAACATATAATTCAAAGAATTTTATACCTGAGAAAGTTAAGACGATGAAAACTTCAGATAAGTTTTTCACTTTTTTTTGCGCAAAGTAAATTTTTATTCTCGCGTTAGACTAGGTGCTATTTATATTTTAACATTTCAACACTGGAACACCGAATTTGATAAATGACGTAGAAATTACTAAAAAGCATATTAGCCATTCATTTTTTTTTGAATAAAATGTTTTACCTAAAGTTCAGTTGAAGGACAGATATTGGTATTTAAGAGTGGTAACCAGTTTGTAGATGTATTGTTCTTGTGGTTTCTTGTGCCTTTTTCTTAATCCTAAATTTTGATACAGATGTGAACAGGTGAAAGAAATTCAACATTTTTACTTATTGATGTTGTTATTAAAGTTGTTGTTTGTGGTTAAGCACAAAGCTACACAAAGGGCTATCCGTGCTCTGCTCACCACGGGTATCGAAACCCAGTTTCTAGTGGTTGTTATTAAAACCCAACAACAAGATATGTGGTTTAACTTCCTACGAGGAGAATATGTTGTTGTTATTTTTTAGCGGTTCTACTCTAACATAGTTTGTGCAAAAAAGAATAACGAAGTTGGAAGACTTACTACTTATGTCCGTCAGGAGACATTTTGACCATTCTGCTTGAGAAATTTTTTTATCGTTGTCAAAATCACAATGTCTGACAAATTTTTTGGCACAATGATGCGGTTCTATGGTTTTCTTCGCCATCCTACGAAGACCTCGAACTTCTCTCCTTCTCAGCACATTATCTTTGTCTGTATCCAGTTGGTCAAACTTCCACCTAATGACCCTTTGGGTCTCTTGGTTTGCGGGTAGCCCTGAAACAATTGATAATTTAAAACTAAAAGGGTACACGTGAAAAATTTTAATAAATTGACATATGTTTAATGTTGTAAGAGAGTGTAGATCCTTATAATTTATTTTGTTAAGATTTTGAGTTGTGTTTTTGCGGGATATTTAAGCCACCCCATCATATCATATGTAAAGCGCATAAGCTGGCGAGACAATGGAGCTTTGCAATACTGTCCAGTTAGCTTACAGTACCAGTTCCAAACGGCTGCGATTGGGCTAGTCTCTCTTTGTACCGGTTTCAAATAGCCTGATAAGCCTGGCCCTCTCGTTGAAAGACCGGTTTTTAACCGCTCTGATAGGCCTAGTTCTCGCGTCCTTTGGATACATATAATTCTCCTAATGCTTATCAATACGCTAGGATTAACCACTTGATGTACTACAATACTTACACAGATTCCTAGCTCCAACCACCGGGTAAAAATAATACCTCAACGAAACCAGCACAAGTTAACAATACACATAAAACTCTTTCACATTTTACAATAACTGTAGCGGTTTCTCCGTATGCCTACTACCTCAACGGGGCGAGAACAAGGAATTTTAAAATTTATTATCTTTAACACTAGCTTAGCAGAATATGAACACAAAATATTTATCACTTTTATTGATAATAATAAGAATAATAACATAGGGAGATCTTGTGATATCTATAGTAATATATTCTGTCTAGTTTGGTGGTGGTGGTGGGGGGGGCATAACACACAGAGCCCTAAAATTCTTTAACCGACACTATGAACAGAAAATTCAACACCTCTTTCTTACAAATAACAAACAGATTAACTTATTGGAACAAGAATAAGTAGTGGGTAGACCCCAATCCAATATTTATACGGGAAAATAGAGCCAAACCTTAGACGTTAAAGTCCTAGTTTAGCCAACAACCAATGGACTAGGACCAAAAAAAATGAAATACATATTTTTGTTACCATAAAATAAAAATATTTTTTGTTTCCTGGTAAATGATCCCATGTGTCATATTAAGCACAGAAAATTAGCTGGAACAAACGACTGTTTTTTCAGAATATGTCGCACATACCCTACGAAATATCAGCTTTCCTACGTTTTCGTGGTTCAGTTTTATGAAATGGATGACTTCATGCAACAACTACTATATTTAACGATGAACCGTCAGGAGTAACTAGAATGTTCGTCAAACTTTTTATGATGAAACTGAAAAATTACAAAGAAGTAACTATGATGAGTCTCAATTCAGGAAGTCAGGGCAGGTTACACTAAAATACTGAGAAAATTTTATAGGGGGCGCCACTGATTGCATCCACATGGATGAGTCGAGAAACTAATGTTAGTATTTAAATACAATAAACCGACTTTTTGGAAATAGGATTAGAGAAAAAAAGCCTTTTCTCTCCTATCACAATATAAAAAACTTTTTGTTTAAGCCTAATCTTTATTATTATCTGAAGTGTAAGGTCGTTCTTTTTTTCTCTCTAACTTTCTTTCCAAACTTTCTAAATCCCTCCATGGTTTATTTTAGATATACGTAATCCATGTAACTAATACATTGTTTTAGCACTGAGAGGTTGGAAACAAATAACTCAAGCAATTTGTCTTTTAACTTGTTTTTTACGGTAACTCTTTGTTTAAAAATTGCATTTAAAATGTCCAACATCAACTTAAGGTTCAGTAAACAATACCATGTTGTCCAGAAAAAATTTTTAACAAAGAGTTACTGGAAAAAAACAAGTTAAAAACAAATTACTTGAGTCATTTGTTTCCAATCTCTCAGTGTTAAAACAACACATTAGTCACTTGGATTACATATATTTAGAACAAACCATTCAGACTCAGAACAAGGAAAACTTATTTCATTGTAAATTAATCCAATAACATCTCTCCAGTATGTACAAGAAATTCTGAACAACAGCAAAATAAACCGACGTTTCCGTGTTACTTGTTTACCTATTCTTAAAGTTACAGAAGAAACGTGTATGCATATAAATATTCAAAGCACCACCAGATTCGAAATATCATATATTTTTATTTTTGATTTCGGCAGGTTGGAAGCGTTTTTTTACCAATAATATGTTTCATGTTTTTCGACTTTGTTAAAAATTATGTATTGGTTTTAATTAAGTTGGCTGAAGAGCAGTGTTAAAGCTGCGAAAGCGCTACCAACTTACCGAAATCAAAAATATAAATAAAAAGATACGAACGTGGAGGTGCTTTGAAAATCTATATATTTTTATTACGCTCGAGAAGATCGTATTTGTAATTAAAGGCATGTATAACATTGCATGCAAACTTATAATTCATGTCATGTTTTCGTGTGAGTTAAATCAGAGGAAAAAGAATGAATCAAGCATGAGTTAGAAGATAAAAAAAAAAGCCAAGTCCAATCATCACGAAAGTTTTTCTTGTTGTAAACGAGTTTCTGTGTTAAGCAACACAGGGTGATTTCGCAATGATTTTAAACAATCAGAATCTGTAGATATTTTTTTTTTATCTTGATTGTATTCGAAACAATGTATAGAGAAAAATAAAGCGTTAGTCCTTTGGTAAACATCAAGAAATGGCAGAAGATTGTTAACTCACACGTAAGATAACTAAAACGCTGAAAATTGACAAAACTAGCTTCCAGAAAACAAAGAGTTGTTTACAAAATATTAGAAAAATAAGAAACTCGAAAGGTGTCGCTAAAAATTCGCAGTTCCTGTTTGTCACTTTAAAAATAATACACGATTTGTGTATGCAACATTACTGGACACGTACATTACAACTCCCAAGTATGGATGTGCCAAGGAATACAGGGTGGACTAAAAAATTTAAGATGGAAAGTTTCTTTTACGCTTCTGATTAGGGCTGTGTGTTTACGTACGTGTAGAATGAAATGTAACATTACAAACACTGACATGTTCACCTCTTTCCTAACTATACTCAACAAGTAGTCATTAGTATCCAAATAAAACTTCCTCGTAGTTAAACCTTGGAGTCTTTGATGGGGTCGTTTATCCCATGTGTCACAAAAGGTGCCGTACAGTAATAATATTTTATTTTGTTTGAACCTCAGGAACTTCAACCTGGCCCTTTTAGCCCACGTGTCGTACAGTAATAATACTTCCTCTTGGTTGGTCTTTGACCTAACATTTATCCTTTGTATCGCATAAGGTGTCGTTTATATGACTCCAAGGTTCAACACGGAGGAAGTGAAGTGTTATTACTAAACGACACCTTATGCGACACATGAGCTAAACGACCAGGCCATATGACCCCAAGGTTCAACCAAGAGGAAGTGAAGTATTATTACTGGCCTAGCCATTTAGCTCATGTGTCACATAAAGTGTTCAGTAATAATACTTCACTTCCTCTTGATCGAACCTTGGGGTCATATGGCCTGGCTGTTTAGCACATGTGTCACATAAAGTGTTCAGTAATAATACTTCACTCCCTCTTGGTCGAACCTTGGGGTCACTGACCTGGCCGTTTAGCTCATGTGTCACATAAAATGTCATTCAACACCAATATTTTATCTTGGTCCGCCTTGCACACGATTGTCGATCAGAACAACACATGACGTGTGAATGTTGCTACAACAATACATCAAAATAACTAAAGCTCCATCCTTCTGAAGTATTTTACCAAGCAAGATCTTTGGTAATAGTGTAAAACATTAATCTTTTGAAAGTGCTGAAAGGGCCACACATACAACATCCTTCATGTCACGACAGTATTCATGTGTAGTGTAATAAGCTAAAACTATTCAGAGCCACAAATGCAACATCCTTCATAGTGAAATAAATAACTACCGAAACAAGTAAACGTCGAATTCTATTGGTTAAACATTAATACTGTGTATATAGCATTTCAATGTTCAATCATCCAATAAATGTCAATGGCCTCTTCAAATAACCAAACGGAGAAGCCATCAAAACGAAACGTTTAAGTCTTGACCCACTTAGTTAAAGAATTTGATTAATATTCAGCTATTTACAGAGCCTGGATGAGAGTGAACAGCTAGGTTGTTGCTTAAAACTATGTTATTGAAGATCAACATGGATACGATGGAGAGCAGTTCACTTATAAACAACATGGACAGTCTACATAAGATAACAAGGAATTGGTGATTAGAAAGTACAGAAAAATCTGACTGGAATTAGATTTTACTTATTATGCATAAATGTTTTACTTATTTATTACCTACAAATACATCGGTAAAATACTTAAATTTGTAGTTGGTTAAAGAAAATATTAAAAGAAAAAGAAAGATCGACTTAACAGCCTTGTCTGGTATGTAGGTGACCCTTGTCAAAATATTCAATTTATCTGTATTGTACTTGTAATAGATTGGATCTAATGTCCAGTAAACACCATTTCGAACATTAGATGCTTTTTTTATCCGAAATAGATTCTATTCATGTGATGGAAAGTGTTTCATGTTGTCTTATTGAAAATCTGTCCCATAATCAAATTGTGATGAGGATAAAGAAGAAGAAAAAGAACGAAGTAGTGACACTAAACACTCTCCACTTCTCACTCATGACTGATGTCAGTATGTAGGGTAACGCAGTATCGTATACAGGTATTCTACTGGCATGTATAACAACACGGTATCCTGTACAAATATTATGTAAGTATGTATGATAACGCAGTATCCTGTACAGATATTATGCCGGCATGTATAACAACACAGTATCGTATACAGATATTATGCCGGCATCTATAACAACACGGTATAATACCTGTAAAAATATTATGCTGTAATTTATAACAACACAGTATCCTGTACAGATATTATATCAGCATGTATAACAACACGGTATCGTATACAAATATTATATCGGCATGTATAACAACACAGTATCGTATACAGATATTATATCGGCATGTATAACAACACAGTATCGTATACAGATATTATATCGGCATGTATAACAACACAGTATCGTATACAGATATTATGCCGGAATGTATAACAACACAGTATTCTATACAGATATTATGCCGGAATGTATAACAACACAGTATTCTGTACAGATATTATATCGGCATGTGTAACAACACGGTATCGTGTTCAGGTATTATGTCGGCATGTATAACAACACAGTATCGTATACAGATATTATGCCGGCATGTATAACAACACAGTATTCTATACAGATATTATGCCGGTATGTATAACAACACAGTATTCTGTACAGATATTATGTCGGCATGTGTAACAACACAGTATCGTGTACAGGTATTATGTCGGCATGTATAACAACACAGTATCGTATACAGATATTATGCCGGCATGTATAACAACACAGTATTCTGTACACATATTATGTCGGCATGTGTAACAACACAGTATCGTGTTCAGGTATTATGTCGGCATGTATAACAATTGTATCCTGTACAAACGTATAAGCTCACGAAACAGTTAGTATTGGCTATCTCCTGGTATAACTAAGTTGGTTACGTCATTGTTTAATTTTGTAAGGAAGAAAGCAGTGCTGAACATTCGATCAAATTACTAAACCCACAAGAGTGTTTGTTATTAGACAGCACAAAGCTTTTATGTATTTGTCCTATGTTTTTTGTTTTTTTTCTACTCCCAAGGTAAAGCGCTCTGATCAAATTCCATCTACAAGTCACAATTGCGAAGAAACCTAAGCCTACGATTGATTGTCACATTGATCTGATCACGAGATGTTCTTGGGTCACGTAACTCTTGCCTCATCTGGGGGTTTTGTTGGATGGCCCCGACCTGGACTTTGCCCGTCACGTCCTTAGCTCTCCTTCTGTGTTTAACCGGTCTCGTTTTTTTTTCCCACAGGAGGTCGCTTTGGTTCCAGCCGACCGACCTTCGCATTCCAAACGAGGCGATTGGCGCGTAGGTACACAGTATCGGGACAAATGAGTAAGTAATAAAAAAGATCAACATACACTGATGCGTGTAAATGTTTTCTGATACACCATTGTAATTTTATTTACCCACAAAAGGTTCAACTAATTTTATTGATAAGGCACAAGAATTTGAGGTTCCACTTCATTAAGACATAGGGATAAACCTTCACCACTGGTCTGGCAGGAATGTAACAATCACGTGATTCATGCGCAATGCAAGGCCAGCTTTCTTTACTAAGAATAAAAAAAGGAAGACGTCATAAACAACTCTTGTACGATTAAGATACTCGGCATTTAATAATTTTCTTTTCTTTTTCTAACGTTAGTGTGCACCTTTTATTGGTCCCAGATTTAGGTAACCAGTGTAATTTACGAAAAGAAACAATATTCACAAATACGAACAGTCAAAACCTCTGACATAAAGTAAAAATACATGACAGCGTAACATGGTCGAAACAATGCATTAATTTAACATAAAACTTAAAACTTTACAAAAATATAAGTTTGGTACAGCCCCCCCCCCCCATCCCATTCCTCCGAGCAAAACCAAACTGTGCAAGCGCCTAAAAACCTGAGTTTTGGGATCAAGACTAGCGGCACCACTAATATTTTAAAATATACACGCAACGGAGGGTTTGAGATATCAAGAGGACGAAGACGGCCTGAAAATCCAGGGATTTACGCTCGAATAACATTCATCTTTATCAAAAGAAAGTTGAGTGAGATCACTTTACATTTTCTTTTCTTTTGTTTTTATATATTTTTTATTACTATTAATTATGCAGCGTATTCTGCTTAATGGGTACGTCACTTCTGAGGATACTAAAGGAACAGAACCAATACAGCTAGTAACTACCATAAAAAAATGTCAACGTGTCTCATTATCAGTTTCTCTCTAGTGTCAGAGTCATGAAGGAACAGAACCAGTAAGCTAGTAACTACCATCAATAATGTCAACGTGTCTCATTATCAGTTTCTCTCTAGTGTCAGAGTCATGAAGAAACAGAACCAGTAAGCTAGTAACTACCATCAAAAATGTCAACGTGTCTCATTATCAGTTTCTCTCTAGTGTCAGAGTCATGAAGGAACAGAACCAGTAAGCTAGTAACTACCATCAAAAATGTCAACGTGTCTCATTATCAGTTTCTCTCTAGTGTCAGAGTCATGAAGGAACAGAACCAGTAGGCTAGTAACTACCATCAAAAATGTCAATGTGATTATTATCAGATTTTACTTAATTTTGAAAAGTACAAACACACACACACACACACACACACATATATATATTTATTTATAATGTAAAATACCACTTCTCATTTAAATCGGGAACTTACCAAAGTCAGGCGGGTTCTGTAACAGTTCGTATTCAGACTTGAAGATTTTCACCAGGTTATTATTAAACGTTGTTTTGTCAGTGCTGCTGCAACCTAAAGAAAGAGAAAAAAATCTAACATTGCATCAAAATAATTTCCTGTATTTTTACTAAAAAATAAACGCTGGAGGAAATAAAAATGTTCGTTCGAGTTGAATGCATCTTCAAGTAGAGTGTTAATTCTGTTTGATTGCTGAAAATGACGAAACTTCTTCTGAACGCTCCGACTAAATGGAAAGTATACTGCTAAAGAGCTCGTAAACACATTGTAATAGTATGATTAACACAGATTTTACTTTCTTTCGCGCCATTTTATTGTACGTAATAGTAGTGACACCTAGCGCATTTAAATTATGGTAGTAACTCCTTTTAATTTTAAAGAGTAATTTAATACATGTATGTGTATTATTGTAGATAGATCAGGATTTGTGTTTTTATTGTTTGTTTGTAGTCAGGCACAAAACTACACAATGAGCTATTTGTGCTCTGCCCACCACAAGTGTCGAAACCCGGTTACTAGCAGTTTTTATCGAAATAAATTATAAAATCATTATAGAATAGATAAATGCATTCTCCTAATATAGTTATGTCACATCGATATATAGGCCCGGCATGGCCAGGTGGTTAGGGGGCGCTCGACTCGTAGTCTGAGGGTCGCGAGTTCGAATCCCCGTCCCACCAAACATGCTCGCCCTTTCACCCATGGAGGCGTTATTATGTGACGGTCAATCCCACTCTTCGTTGGTAAAAGAGTAGCCCAAGAGTTGGCGGTGGGTGGTGATGTCTTACACTCTAGTCTTAAACTGTTAAATTAGGGACGGCTAGCGCAGATAGCCCTCGTGTAGCTTTGCGCGAAATTCAAAACACAAGCAAACAAACACATCGATATAAACAGTGATTTGAAATATCATTATTTGTTTAACATAGCTTAATCGGACAAAAATATTGAAAACAAAATAAGCTTTCGAAGGTTTTTGACGTTAATTTTAAGTAGGTCGGTGTTTTAAAGATCATACCTTATTTTGGTAGAGGGGAGACTACCCGATGCTTGATGCGTACATGACTAGCAGTTCTTTACTTACTGAATGACAAGACTACTAATAATGTGGTCAGAAGTCTGCGGTTATGATATTTCGAGACGTTATGACAGGGAAGTTGACAAGGGCTCAAACTCTAGTAAGATAACTCAATAAACAACAGATTGAGGGACGAGCTGCCGAGCCAGACTGATAGGCACGGTTCTAAAAAAACAGCACACAAATCACTCATTTTCAAACCCTGTCAGGTCCATGAATCAAAGAGATTTATGAAAACGTCACCACGAGCACGAAGGCCAAGAGTTTTGGGGTCAACACTCTTCAGAGAGAACATAAGCGGCGAAAGCACGTGCAGCAGGTGAAGTCTGGCGCCACAGTGTCCAGTGAACGATGTTTAACTCCTACGCAGGAGCGGCGTCAACAGCTATTAAAACCATCAGACGAGCTTATCATTTGATTATTATTCCATTGGCTCTTTTACAGTAACAAAAAAGATCAACAACAACAAAAAAAAACTCGTTTCTCTACTGTCAGTGTCTACTACCTGGGCGCTACAGCATATGTAACCTTTGACATAAAATAAAGGACAGCGTCCCCAAGAAGCGTCTTACTAGATCCTCTAATACGAAGCCCTACTATACCTGTAAATGTGAAATACGGTGTTGTTGATTTTCGAGAATAATTATTACAAACACGCTTAAAAGGAAATAACGAATGATAACTATAAGTTATCAAATGAATGTGTTTTTGAATAATTTATTTTCGGAAATTATAGGTTTTGCCACGAAAAGACTTTAGTTTAATAGAAATGATATACAAACTGTATAGTTTCCTTCCTTTCATTCTGTGAAAAGTTACCGTATTTGCTGTTATTTTGAACCACGTTTTTTTCTCTTGTTGAATATTGAAGAAAAATCTAAAATTGTGTAATTCAGGTAACAGAATATTATAAAGAAAAGCTATGACATAATATATGACTATAATAAGTTTTTTTGTTTTTGTTTAAAGACAGCAGAAAATAAAGTTGTACCTGAACATATGTAAAAAAAGTGTACAGAACACCTGAATTCTGGACCTGTGTTCGTACATTCGTCGTGAAGTGGTACTGTACCACTAGCGAATGTGAACGGCTAATTGTTTTCTACGCACATGGGCCAGGTAAGGCCTAGTAGTTAGCGTGCCGAACTGTGGATCTAATAGTCCAAAGTTCGAGACGTGATGCATTAAAACGTGATTTGCACTGTGGATGTGTTACTTTCAGCTGTGGATGTGTTACGTTCAGCTGTGGATGTGTTACTTTCAGCTGTGGATGTGTTACGAAACTGACAATCAACTCCATTATTCACTTGAAAAATTCGAACAAAGCTTATTTTTTAGTGAGTGGATGCTTTCTCTGGTCAGAAGTGCAAAATTAGGGATGGGTACAGCTGATCTCTAACTGGCCTTTTAGACAAATCAGCATAAGATGTCGATTTAGAAAGTTCTGTAAGCGTTCAAATTTGAAGTCCATCATCAATTAAATTGCACATTTACGCGAAATTTTAATTTTCATAATAGACCTGGGAATGTCGAGGATATTAATAAGTTGCATAACTCTTATACATTGTTGAAATATATATGTATGTATGTATATACAAGTTTGGTGGTTTGTTGGTTAGTTGTTAAGCGCAAGGCTACAAAATGGGCTGTTTGTGTTGTGTACACCATGGGTATCTAAACCCGATTTTTTATGTTGTAAGCATGCAGACTTATCGCTGAATTACTGTGGGGCTACAAGTTTGGAAAATATAACAGATAAAAACGAATAGAACTTGGACAAAGTAAGTTAAATCAGTGAGGCTGCTGTTGTAAAACTGTCTTCATTTGTTGAATATTAATATTAAAGAAAAGTTACTTAAAACTTTACCCAATAAAATCTCGAAGATCTAAAAATTCTTTAAATTCATATAAAGCCTAAATTTTATGCTTTCTCCTTTCTTCTAAGTAGAAATTATTCACGTACTGTCGTAAGCTATATTTTCATGTTGTAATATGTTTATTAGTTAGGGGGCGTAGAACACCTGGAAAGTTCCAAGGATGTGACGTCAAATGTTTTTTTTTCTAGCACATTCGAAGCTATATTATAAATACAAGGAGTGTTGAGAGATGGTGAATACGGAGTTGTTTCAAGATAATAGAGTGAATCAGTCAGTGTGTTAGCTATCACGGTTACTTTGTACAAGTAAGATTATTTGTTTCACGTTAGTTAAAGTCATTTATAATGTGGGCTTACAATAACTTACGGCAGTGTACAAGTGTTGAAGCTTGTAGAAACGTTAAACAAGGAAATAAACTCGCTCGTTATAGTTTACGTAGACTTGACGTTGAATTATTTTCACCAGATAATTAAAAAAAAGGTCGACAACGAAAGAACAAGACTGCAACAGTATATTAAATTCTTATATCTGAAAGTTAAAAAAAAGAGTTCAGGAAACTAATGACATTTTTAATATATATTTTCAGAAGGAAATTGTACAAGGAAATTGCTCATTAAATATATAAAGACTTGGATCACGGAAAATCATAATCACCCAAAGTTGATTCTCTAAAGAGAATGAAAGCGAGGATGATAATTTGCTCCATGGTCACGCAGATCAAAAACATCATCGTCCTTACAGTTTTTAAAGTGTTCCGTTTACATACAGTAAAAACGCTAATTTAGGCTAGATTAATTTTTTTTCTATCACGTAAGGATTTTTTATAAATCGGGAAGAAAAAAAACTCTTACTTAGATCAGATTAGTATTTCGTTTGTCACAATGAACATTTTTTATATTGTGTTTGTTAACAAAAATATAAACTGAAGAAAAGGGAAGAACATTGATGTCAAACGAATATGCATCCTCATGCATCCTGATTTTGTTTGTGAAATCTACGTCTTTTAGTCTCAAAACTGTGTGTTGTGGTCTTTCTTTTATGTACTGCGACTGGAGCATCTCGTTTCAATGATCAGCAGTAATCAGCCATCATGCTGATGTTCCACCTTCCCTGATACCTCCTCTCCAATTCCCTGATGTCTTGATGAAATTTTCCCCCTTGTTTTTCGCTGACGACACCGAGATTTTCAGGGAAATAGTCAATATGCGAGTGTAAGAAATGAACTTCTTTGAAGCTCATATTACAACCCAACTCTTTGAACTTATCGATCATTTTATTGACAATATTTTCGTAATTTTTGGTCCTTGTTGTTTCCAAAAGATTTGTCAATAACATCTTTAAAGGCAATCTACGCTTCTTTTTTCTACTTTCCTCATTGTCCTTTCGAATTGTTCATCCGAAGTCAATTTCCTAATCTGAGGTCTAACAAAAAACCCTTCTTTAAGTTTCGCTTGTGAAAGAGCTGAGAATATTTGAAACAGTCGCCATCTTTGTCTAAGGCCTTTACAAACTGCTTTATCAAGCCCAGTTTTATGTGAAGTGGAGGTAATAGGACTTTTTCTTGTGTCAACCAAACTTTCACGTTCAGTGTTTTTCGATCTGGTACCAGGCTGACTCTGTATGGTCATTGCTTCTTTATCCAGTGCTGATTTCGTGCTCTGCTGTCCCAGTCACACAAAAAACAGGGAAACTTTGTATAACCGGATTGTTGACCCAGCAACATACAAAAGACTTTTAGGTCTTCACAAAGTAGCCAACCATGTTCTTTGTATTTGACCTTATTAAGAAGTTCGAGATTTTCGTACGTTTCCTTCAAGTGAACCGAATGAGCAAAAAGAACAGATGCATATATGTTATTATTGTGAAGAACACCTTTTAGACTTCTTTTGGAGGAATCAATGAACAATCGCCACTCACTTGGTTCATAGCCTGCAGCTCCTAGCATTGGTATTAATTCAGCAACATTGTTGTAATAAACCAGTGAACCTTCTTGCGAAAAGTATGGTATAAACTCTTTCTCACGATTTCTGTAAAATTTTACCAGTAAAATGATGTCCCTGGAAAAAGTAAATTCTTAGCCCGAAGTCTGGACACCTAAATCTCTGAAGAATCTTTGTAAGGCCCAAATCTCTCATCAAATCATTAAGTTATGGTTCATCAGACGTTTCAGGTTGAAAACAATTCCTATCATCATTTCTATTGACATCAGATTCAGAATCAGATGAAACTGTATCAAGAGTCTCTGGTGGAGTAGGTACAGTTACATCAGGTCCATGAGCAACAGGTCTTACAGCAGATTGAAGGTTCGGATAAGAAATTCCCTTCTTATTTTGAGTGTGGTAGCCTTGCACGTTACATGAGCAAAAACAAAACAAAAAACAAAGCGGTCACCTCCGTAGTTTCTAGGCTCACGCCGGACCATTGGATTTCCAAAAGGCAAAGACGTTTTCTTACCTTTTGTCCATTGTCTCAACTCTTAGACACAAACGGAGCAAACTTTGTGCGGAACCCATGATTTGTCTTGGTCCCCTAAGTTTTGCCTTTCTTTCTTTACAACAAATTTACTACAAATATAACAGAATATGTTTTGGTCATTTACACACCCTCTTGTTGCCATAGCGACGAATAAATATTATTGAAAAGAAAAAATAACGTCAAAGTGCACGCACAAACAAATACTATCCAGAAATGACAGGTTATGGGCCTGTTAACCGTTTGTATACTAGCGGTGTGTTTCTCGTGGGTTCTAGAACGATCGATAAGACTCTCACGTCGCGACTAGTCTAGAGAAATCTATAGCCAGTGATTGTCAATATTTTAAGCATAACAAAATCTGACCCAATTTCAATGAAAATGATTCATTTATGTAAAAGTACATATGACGTTTTGCGAAAAATCTGAATGTGATTGAGAAAAATTGATATCATTTTCGGATTCAGCGTACAGGAATTACTGTAGAACATGAAAACATTTCAAGACAATAAAACCATCGCAGGCCTGTGTAGTTTTATACGTTTCGTAAATATCTGTTGGAAATGAGATGTTGCCCATAAACGAAGTTCAAAATCGTGGCAATTGCTTACATTTTTCTGTTGGAAGTAAGATGTCGCCTATAAACGAAGTTGAAAGGTGTAGCAGTTGCTTAAAAACTGCTGGAAACTATGTGTTGTCTATAGACATAATTGAGAGACGTAGTAAGTGCTTAAAAACTTCTGCTGGAAGTGAAATGTTGCCTATGAACAAAGTTGGAAATAATATTAATTGCTTAGAAACGTCTTTTGGACGTGAGATGTTTCAGTTAATCGTTAAAACAAGTTATGACTTATCTAGTATGCGTTTTGGTCAGGCTTATCTCATCTTCCTACATTCTGTAGACAGATTTTAATTTTACAATATAGTAATACTTAGAACTTTGTTTTAGTAGATCATTTCGCGTCTTTCTTTCTGTAAAATAAGTTTTGTACGAAAGAAAAAGAAAAACGTGAAGTTGCCACTTTAAATAAACTTCTATAATATGCATTTTCTTGAAAGTCTTTCCACACAAATACACTTTAATGAAGCAACGGAAATAGCCAATATTATTTTAAAATTTGGAAATAGTCCTTTAAATTAACACTATTATCGTAGGAAGACAAAAATTCTGACTATTTCACCAAGACAGACCTACAAAAACCGAATATTCTATGTGTGTATGAATACGAACCCTGTAAGTGAAAAACGTTTTACTAAAGTACTCCGGCGTTATTGGGGGCTCGTGCCCCTTATTGCCCCCTTCCCTATGCATGATCCAGAGGAAAAAAAATATTAGATAATTGCAAACTGTCTAGTCTCAGTCCAAACCCTTAAAAGGTTCTTTTTGCCTGAGAACTGCTGACAAGCTAATGACGAAGCAAAATAAAAATCTAATAGGTTTCCAAAAGCTGTTTACATAAAGATGAGGTTTTTAACAACTTAGCTCTTTGGTAGAGTTTCTGCTGTAAATGAAAGCTCGAAACATGCTGCGCGTTTAAAAGAAACATTAGTGGGTGGTCTCAAACCACTTTCTACGGAACTTGTAATGTACTTTCAACGCTAAGTTTGTGGAAAGTCCCCCTCCCCCCTAGTAAAGTAACGTTAGGTAGTTGATAAGCTTTAGCCACGCTTTTAAACTAATGCTATGTAAATAAGAGCACAGAGTTATGTAAGTTCATCGCGGCAAACTTCGATTACATCGACATAAAGTATGACTTCATCGATATAAGTTATGACTTTTTCATCCACAAAATATTTGAAAAAGGAAAGGCCACTAACAACAACGCTTAAATATTTTATACGGTATAATTCTATTGATTAAAAAGAACTATTTATTTTTTTCGATATCATTTTTTTGTTTGTTCCAGAATTTCTTGCAAAGCTAAACAAAGAACTATCTGCACATAGCCGTCCATAATTTTGAACCAATAGACTACAGGAAAGGCATCTTATCAACAGCACCCACCGAAAACTCTTAAGTTACTCTTGTTGGGTCGAATAGTGGGATTGAACCGTCACCCTTATAAGTGCACCCATGGCTCCAAAGTGCGAATCACGTATTTTCTGCAAGGGGTCATAACTCCCCTGATTCACAGTTCGGCTACGTTAATCACTTGGCCACGCCCGGCCAAAAACTGTTTGTTGTATGGGTCATTTTTATTACAGTTACTTCCAATATTTATATATTTTAAATATTTATTCATTTATTTTCCGATTACAAAACACATACTCACATTTTAAAACTTTAATTAAACCCCCAAAATAATGTATCTTAATGTATTTATTACTGTTAAAATGCATCATTTCATTTGCTAATGTCACGAAAATTTGTGTCTGGTTAAAATATAGAAGGTTAAATATGTTATATTCAAACGATTGTAAATATGCAAACCAGCAAGTCACGTGACAACCACGGCCGATATAAAGTCGCGGTGGAACTGTATGTATTAAACCTAAAAACAGGGGTTCGATTTCCCCTCTGTGAACACAGTAGATAGCCCGATGTGACTTTGCTATAAATAACACAAACATACATTAGACGTAAATTCTGACATTGTTTGCCACTTCGTAGATAGCGTGATGACCCCGAAAATTGAGCGCTTTTGGGAAGGGTATATAACACTCAGATCGTAAAGATGTGTTCAAATCGAAAATTTAGAATTTCCAAGACGAGAATATCCCTTGTACTTAACAGCATTGGAAAACAAAGGAATAAGGATGAAACTGGGGCACCAGGACCATCCAAACATAGACCTGTAACAAGTTGTATCCAAAACATGGTAAGAAAACGAAGTCAACAGGGTACGAGTTCACGAAAATAAGGTTTCCAGTAATACCTAAAGTACCTGGAGAATAAAAAAACGGGTATTCCTATCATTCCATATGAAGACTTAAACCTATGAATCTGTCTGCAATCAGACTGTTGAAACGAGTGCTGGGAAACTGTCGTCCTCGTACACTAGACTGATTATGGAATGCTTTCAGGGAAGTGATGAGCTTTATACATGACAGTCTTACGACAGAGCATTTTTCAATGGAAACTACGCTGCAGGGCTATAGTCAAGATGCACGGTCATCAGATAAAGCATGACTGGACGTAAGCACATGTGCTGTAATGACGTGGTGATGCTTCAAAATAATTACAAAATAATTAATACAACTTACTCAACATATATACATCAAAATGTGGAAATAATTCCATGTTTTTATGAGTTCAATATTTGTAGAATCTATTATAATAATACTCATTTTTTTTCTGTCCTAAAAATGCGCGCGCACTTCATTTCAACGGATGTAAACAAAAAGCGGGTGTAAATGTACTTTATTAAACATTTTGTACAACAACATATTAAAAGTTTATCAAAATTTTTACAAAGGTCTAAGGTTAATTCGTATAATAACATTATAAATTTATTTATTCACAGTATTAAGCACGGTAAAGTTTATCCCTAACTAAACTAAAGCAAATTCCATACACATGTTACAGTGTTATCTCTTTTTCGAATATAGGCCGTACTTAATAAAGGCTTAACTAACGTTAGGCCTAAGACAAGTGGCCTTATATATATTTCGGTGTCTGCGATTAGAATTCTTTTACATATTTATAGAAATCCTGTACTTAAAGAAGTACTGTTGCAATAAAGATACTAATTTGACCACAAATGTTTTACGAGTCTCTGCTAGTATATAATATTTGAAACCCACCTTTTCTTGGTCTTTGTATTGAAGATCCACGCCTATTGATCCGTTTACCTGGAAAAAAAGGAAAATTATCGTATAAGAGAAGAAATCTATAAAACGATCTGGAAATAAGGATCTGGATCATGTCATACAGTCAAATGATATCTTGGTTGTAAGAGCCTTAGAATTCGTCTCTCAGCCACAATTCGATTGCATTTACGTTAAAGATGAAACTATATTCACTTTAAAGGTTTTACTAGAATGGTAAACATCAACTGGATATTCGTTAGGTAATCTACAAAAGAATAAATGATATGCATCCCACAAAAAACTTCCAAAATATAATGAACTTTTTACTAAAAACTGACCACTAATTTCAAGCTATTCTGCAAATTCATATTTCATTTCTTAAAGTTGTTATTGGAGAACGAAACGTCACAATTCATGAGAGGACAATTAGCTTTGAATCTTATGGTCAGAGCTTAAACCCGTCTGGGAAATGTGCAGTCTTTTTAACCAAAGGTACCATTCTTATGGTCAAGGATATAATCTTTACGGCTGAGGATTAAGCCCCTATAATCAAGTATACAGATCTTATGGGAAAGGGCTTACTTTTTTTTTTTTTTTTTTTTTTTTTTTACCGTAGAGAATGCGTTAGTGCAGTAGTTCCGAACCTGTAGTATGCGTACCCTTAGGGGTACACAAGATCCTTTGAAGAATATTAAAAAAGAAAATTGGAGGATAGTCTCGGTGAGTTATCAGCGTATTCATACATTTTTCCACAGTCATACCTCACATTTTCCCACAGCTATACCTGACGTTTTCCTACAACCACACCTGACATTCTCCCAAAGCCATACCAGACATTTTCCCACGAATCTACCTAACATTTTCCTACAACTATAACTGACATTTTCGTGTTCATATATATATATTCTTTGGAATTAGAGATTTATCCGTGTGTATAAAGTATACATGATCTTAAGAACATGTACCTAAAGTGTTTAGAATTTAGCCCTGTCCTATACTTTTGTAAACACACACACACACAAAGTACTACTAAACTATTTCTCTCGCAGTTAAAAAAAAATCTTTTAAGCATGTGGTACCTCTGGATGATCTATATTGGACATTTTGGCTTATTTAGAGATACTGAGTTTATACCAATCAGAAAAATTACCAGGGACCCTAGCAAAGTTACTGCTAAATTACATAAGGTATGGTGCCAAATCCCTTTTCTCCATTTCATAAAAAAAATATCCTCGTTAGTATATTTTTCCTAATGTTCAGGGTTCGAGTCTGCGATATGCCGCTGAACATGCTTAACACTTTTAGCTATTGGTACATTATAAAAATGGCAATCAATCTATCTATTCAGTTAATCGTAGCAATTTAGGGGCAGGGTGCTGTTGACCAGTTGCCTTCTCTCTGGTCAGCAGTTCTAAATATGCCTGATCTTTGGGTATCTCTTATCTGACCGCTTAGCCCAATTTTCGCGTCAGGTGAGGTTCAGGTTGATAATATTATGCTACAGTTTATACAGCAAAGGAATTTCGAACTACGCAGAAGCAAAGAATCTGTTGTCAGAAGAAGCTTTCCATTTCGTCAGTTGTGGAAAGGTAGAGCTTCTAAACTCATTATTCATTAAACCCAAACATAACACTGGATGTCAAGTAGGATTCACGAAAGTAAACATATAAGAGACATTGGATATGACGTAGGGGTCACGATGTAACTTTGGTTATCACTTGGAAGTCACGAAAGTAAACATACATTCGACACTGGATATCACGTAGGAGTCACGGTGTAACATTATATATCACGTAGAAATCACAATGTTACACTGGATATCACGTAGTAGTTGCTAAAGAAGAGCTTGTTATATTTACACTGTTCGTAGCTGTAGGGTGTTTAGTGTACCTACACAATGCAAGTCAAGTGGTATTGAAATTTACAAATATATTATATACATATACTAGTCGCGACACGCAAAACATTTGCGGTAGTTTTCATACCCTTCGCTTGAATTTGCCTTATTCTATCATTTTCGCGCACGCCATTTAAGCTATGTTTTCTTGCAGGCATTATGTGTTAGATCGATAAATCCTGATATATTTGGAAATAATAAAAAAAAAGCGATCAGACAAATAAACTCACGAACACTTAGCTTTATTTAATAAAATTAGTTAGTTTGTTTGTTTGTAATTAAGCACAAAGCTATACAATGGGCTATCTGTGTTCTGCCCACTATGGGTATCGAAACCCGGTTTCTAGCGTTGTAAGTCCGCACACATACCGCTGTGCCACTGAGGGCATTTAATAAAACTACACGTAAAATAAACAATAAAGTATTGGTATTTATAATAGTGTAAAGAATATGAAACAGTTATGAATGTTCATTGTATGACACGGTTTTATCAGTTGAAACAAAAAAAACTTACAAAAAACGGAGAATAAAAACCCGTACTAAGAAAAAGCTAAGAAGTGTTTATAGCAGTCTATGAAACGAACCGAAGACTAAATTATTGCAAAGTAAAGTAAATGTAAAGTTGTAGTGAAGGCAAACTTAGCTGAATATGCAGAAACGTCTGAATGCGTGTACACAAAGTGATAAGCATATGGTTTTGAACGAATTTCACATGCATATTTTAGACCTAAGAAAGTCCAAAAAGGCTCATTGAAACTGTATTTAGTGTAATGTTCTTTTTTTTTAGAAAATTACGTGGGTTAAATATTGTTTGTGTGAAATACTTTGCAAATAAAAAAGTTGAAATAGAAGCCAGTCGTCACGTGATGATAACGACATTGTGTCATCATGTACCATATTCGTTGCATTAAAAGGTTTCACTGAGCAACAAAAAAAAAAAAAGAAGTAAGGTAATTCTGATTTGAAAAGCCAAAATTCCATCCGGGCTCCTGGGACAAAGACTCTTCTAACGATATGAGATTTGAAGCGTTTGATGGAGAAATTTGCGAGAAAAGTTCCAGACAGACAAACGCAAGCGTATTATTTATATAGATGTTTCTACAGAAGTCGGATGGCCAGGTGGTTAGGGCGCTCGACTCGCAATCTGCAGGTCGCGGGTTCGAATCCCAGTCACACCAAACATGCTCGCCCTTTCAGCCGTGGGGGCGTTATAATGTAACGGCCAATCCCACTATGCGTTGGTAAATAAGTAGCCCAAGAGTTGGCGGTGGGTGGTGCCTTCCCTCTAGTCTTACACTGCTAAATTAGGGACGGCTATGCGCAGATAGCCCTCGTGTAGCTTTGCGCGAAATTCAAAACAAACAAACAGAAGTCGGTCAGTGTGGCGAAACACGTGTATGTAACATAGCTATTTAATTTCCTAATAAACTAGTCTGAACAGTCCATCGTAGTCCTTGGTGCATGTCGATAGGCTGACTGAAGGAACGTAGTCTTAGATATATATATAATAACAACCCTAATTTTGATAGTGCATCTGTATGTATTTCACATGTTGACAACCTAAAGTCATCAATTTATTTTGCTCGGATTTCGTTTGGGTCAATGACCTTTTGACCAGTTACATCTTTTATTCTATACTCTGCATTTTTCTTTCACGAAGAGTAGAACAAATGTTGTTTTTTGTTTTGTTTTTTACTTTTGTGTGTTATGTTTCCACGTGCTCATTTATAATAACAACTTGTGCTCAAGTAAAAAATAGTAAATACTTTAGTTAATATTTTGCTAAGTCCACTACTCTATTTCCATCTCTTAATTGCCTCATTAGTTTCACTAAATAATGAAACCTGACCTGAACTTAAACCTTAACCAAGTATCTTCGTGTCGCCACAATTACGTTCGTTTACGATTTGTCAGTCTCATCTGAAGTGTGTGCGCTTTCATAAAAATGAACGTTTCGTATTGGACACCATCCAACACATTCTGGTTACACTAACGTCTTCCTGTGTTACGATATGGCAGAGAAACTTAGCTTATGCAGTGTTGTTTTTACGACAGACGGACAACACATTAAACAAGTTAATCCTGTTTGTTTTAGTTTATTTTAAACTATACCTTAAGACATTTAACTGCTATTTAGCTCTAAAAATGAATTTCTCTTAAACTTCTGAATAGCAAATTAAACTTTTCAGTTTAATTTTATAAAATAACCTACGACATAATTAGTTGGAGAGTACAGTTCTGAGTTTTCGCCAGCTCGTCCGTGAACTTTTATTCTGAGTACTGTGACGATAAGAGGTTTTTTATCGGAATGTCTAAACAACACACTTGACACATTTCATAGCTTAAGTTCGCCAAGTCCTTGTGGGTCCTGGAGTGAAGACATTGTTATGGATCTAAGTTTGTAATGTTAATTACACTTCTGATACTCATACCTGATTGGTTACAGCGAAGCTGCCTGTTTCTGACGGAAGTGCCCTGTATGTGTTTTCCATTGTCGTCAACACACCAACAATAACCAGTGGTTCGATGACATTGGACTTCCAAATAAGAACCGTCTTCTTTACACTGAGGAATAATCACCCTGCGGTTACCTTTTGAAGCTTGGGTTATAGCTAACTCTCGAACATCAAAGCAGTTGGGCGAATCTGCTAATAATAACAATAAGAACATTTATAGAACTGAACAAAACTGAAATTATTTCAATACAATTTTTTTCTCCCTAAAGTTTTTGGAAGGTAGGTCGCATCTTACGAACTAAGGGGACTCTTGCTAGGCCTGTAACAGTTATAAAATGTCTCGATCTTGACAAGCGACCTCTGTGTTATTTACCAACTCATCTTGGAAACCTAATAGCCGTTCCAGGAGATATATTATATTATATCAAAAGTATGACCCCCCCCCCATAGGCGTCAAGTGTTGCTTGACAAAATACATAAATAAATGCAACAAATATTTCGCAGTCTTGGCCCTGACCTTCGATCGTTTAAAGCCTCGAGTGTTTTCCACCGTTACGAAAACTTGAATATTATTTTTTAAAAGTCAACTTTATATCTTCTTTTCTTAACACTTCCTATTTTTGAGTAATCGAATAAGTTTCATAATCCTATTTTTTACAGCAACTTAATAATCGCACGTTCAAATAACAACGATAAAAATGAAAAATAACGATGTATCTTACTCTAGTGGAATATTAAAGTGAACTAGATGCGATTAAAATTAATTCCTATTTCGAGTGAAAAGATTATTCTTCATTTGTTCATTTACTTGTAGTATTCTAACTATTGTCTCAATGACAACTTACGAATAAATAATCATTAATATTTAAATAACTGAAATACGTTAATTAGTTGCAAGAAAAGGAATAAACCACAAAATAAGTAAATTAGTCTCCAAAATTATCTCTTAGTGTTGCTTTTGTTATATTTTAACTCAAAATATATTGTTTTTCTCTGCTCTTGAAAGAAGGGGCACATAGCAACTGATAGAAATTACATGTATACGAACAAGTCGTCCTTCGATTCTATTAACACGTCGAAAAACAAATGTTAACAAGTTAGGCTTAACCTGTTTTCTTAGGTAGTAACTCGTAACAGCTTAGCAATATCTATTATGAAATTATTCAGGGTACGTTATACAGACACGGCTATCATGAAGAAGCCAGTGTAACAAGTTGTGCGAAAAAAACGTCGCGGCCCCCTATGAACAATCAACTTCTTTCCATACCGGAATGCTGCACGCCAAAGTCAGAAATAAAAAGATTCGGTTCGTCAATTTTGTTCTCATACACCTGTCTGTTGTTTTATAAACATTTATTCTTTTTCTCAAAAAAAAAGAGATTTCAAAGACAGAAATACAAGGCTTAGTTGAAATTTAAATATCTTGCCAAATATTTTGTGCTTATTCACATGAACGACACCTTGTATACAGCTGGGTAAAGAGCCAGGTCAGATGTTTTTCCTATCATTCAGACCTAGCTGTCCTTGACTTTAAACTGTGGACCAGACGGAAGGCAAACAGTCAGCACCCCCTGCTGGATGAAGCAGCTCGCACCCACAGCTGGAAGTTCGAAACGAGTTTGGTAATACCGCGTCTCGAATCCGAAACATCTGAATCCCCACTCTTGGGCCCAATTTTTTTGTGAACATATAATCAAATTAAAGGTTCTCGTAACCTTTAATATATCTGAATTTACGAAATGCTGAAAAGTTATCACAAGTCGGAGACATTGATACTGAAAAAACATGAAAGCTTTGTTTAGTGGCTGTCATCTTTCACTCCTGTTCGCTTGATTCTACGTGTTTAGTTGCTGTTGTTTGTTTTCCTTATCTGCCAGTACCTTTATGGTCCTTAGTAAAAACTGATATTATTAGTTAAATTCTTCTCTTCCATAAGATCCAAACACACCTCATAAAAACGTAAATCTAAACTAAAATTCAACATGGTAATGAGTATAGCTAATTAATTACGTTTTTACTTATAAAGATTGGAAAGCATTATTTCTTTAGTTAGGTACCCTCGCTATTAACGATATTTGCGGTAGTAATATCGAAGCAATTAGACATGTATGAGAGTGCTGAGCTAACTCTAGTGAGACATTATCATTTGAGCTACAACTGCACAATCAAACCACCTGACCGGGGTTAACGTTTGAATATATATCCCGCCTCTATTGCTTTTATATATCATTACCTATTTCTCTAGGAGACAACTCGTTATCATGAGTAAGGAGTAAATATTATCACTTCTATAAACAAATGAATGATAAAAAGTGTTACCCTGATTTTTTTTGTAAAGTAATCCAATCATTCTTTCTGGTTTTGTTTTTTTCGGGTACAACTAGTAAGCGTATTTTTATGTATTGCATTATGTTGTTAGAAAATTCGGGCACCCACTTTTTTGGAATGATACTATAGGTCATTTTTATTTCTATCATATTGTGAACACCCCCCAAAGAGAGATATAAAATAATTTGGTGAAGAGACAGGGTAAGAGGTTTAATCGAATTTTACCTTTATTTTTCTCATTACATGTGCTTCTGGTTGTAACTGTGGACTAAATTCCCTGACGCAGTTTGATTGCCATCAATTATCTAACACTTGTTAACCTGTATTGTTTCTCCCGCTTGTTATGTTGGCGCCATTTTGATAAACGAGTACCACGCCCAACTCAAACGTTCACAGGTAAACGAGGTAAGGAAAGAAAAGTTTTCAAAACTGTATATAATAATAAAGTTTTAATGGTTTTTCCTCGTTTATATATTTTCTAAAACTCAAACATATATATATATACACAACTAACAAGAATTTATAGATGTTACTTATAGCAATAAAAGGAACCTCTCGCTAATCCATGATTAAGCTATTTCAAGTTGTTACAATATTCTTATTTTCCTTTAATTAAAGTCGTGCTGTTGGGAAATCTCTAGCAGTTAACATTGTCACGCGACTCTGTCTCAATGACAAAGACAACTTACTCTTTGCATATTTCTCTATTATAGTTATCATTTGGACCTGGTCTTCCTACGGATGTATAACACGAAGCAGTTACACATTGCATTGAATTATTGTTATGTGCCAAGAGTAGGTCAAGAGATAAATTAATTTAAATAAATATAAATCTTTTAAATTTGATACCGAGTTTGTATGTTTTTTTATTTACTTCACTATACACTAGTAACTAGTATTTGCATCGTGTTCTTTCCCCTCTTCTCCACATTTGTACAAAAACATTTAACACAACATTTTTTCTATGAGCTGCTATTTTAGAATTGTTCAGTATTCCAAGTTTTTGTTTTCATCTTCTTAAAGTCAAAGGTTTTAGAGAGTCCATACGAAATATTTGTAAATTGTCGATGTAAAATTCATCAAATTCTATCAAACGGCTATCTGCCGTCTTCCCAAATTGTGAACTGCTGATCACACGGAAGACAAACGCCTGGCAACGCCCTCTGCCAACTCTTGGGCTACTATTTTTTTTTAACCAACGAATAATGGGCTTGACCGCCACATCAAAAATTCCATCACGATTGAAAGAGCAAGTATGTTCGGTGCCAGGTTTCGATCTCGCGGTTTTCAAATTGCGAGTCGAACGCCGTTACCACCAGCGCATGCCAGATCTCTTGCAATATGTATATGTTCTGTGAACATTAAAATTTTGGTGTAAGCTTATTATTCAGGGTCCACTATAGCTGCCAAGATCGTTACTTGAAAGTTTTGAACATTAGAGGGAGCTGGTGAAATATTTGTTTTCGAACAGTGTTTAGGTTAACAGTCAGCTTCTTTAGGTAATATAAACCGGTGTATTGGTTATTTCAGCTCAATATTTAAAACAAATAATGCAACAGCGAACTAGTATTGTACTGAAACGTCCCAGTAAATTAGTTGTAAGTTGCGGCTAGAATAATACGTGATTAATATATATGTATGCAAGCCAAGTTTCTGATATGTATTATCTGTACTGTGTGTTTTAAAAAGCGTTTTACGTAATTCGAAAACTCATACAAAGCCCGAAACTGATATAGTAGTACACATCTCAGGAGGATGAAGTAATTTATTAATTAAAACACGTTAGCCTAGTGGCTATCTACTGCACGTAATGTTCAACAGGGTGGTTTTGTCAATTCGATAATCAGACAAATGTAATTTCTATCTTTAATACACTTGCAATATATAGCGTCTATAATATAGTGTACCTTCGAGTCTGCTGTGGTTCCTACAACTGATGGCAAAGCAATCCTGTGTTTTTAGTATTCGGAATTTGAACAGGCTAGCACGCGCATACTCACCCACACACTCTCCTTCGTTCTTAACTTTCACTGGGTATCCCTCACATCTAGCGCGCTCTATCTCACAAGGAGATTGATAGGTGCGTCCGTCGGTTCCACACACTAAAGAACGTTCGTCGCTTTCACAGTTACACTCGGGTTTCTTATCTTCAGACAAATGATGAAGCTACACATAACAAAAATTATAATTTGAATGACATTTTATCACTAAATCATGGAAATTAGAATAAATATTCTTAAGTTATGTTTTTGTTTTGTTCACCATTTGTGTTTCATCGATATATATATATACTTAATGTTTAAAACAATGCTCGTAAACCTAATGCCTTAACATCATAAGAAATACTGTCCTGTGGAAGCACCAGGGAAACTATTTGTTTGTTTGTAATTAAGCACAAAGCTACACAATGGGCTATCTCTTCTCTGCCCACCACTGGTATCGAAACCTGGATTCTAGCGTTGTACGTCCGCAGATATACCGCTGTGCCACTGGGGGGCCCAGGGAAATTGAAGCACATCTGTTCATACGCTAATTGGCTTAACTCTAGTTAGTCTTACTTCTGACACTTATCCAGAGTAGAAATTTGCGGCGCATTCAGGCGGAAATATTTTCATAACTTGTAAAAATAAAAAAACAGAAGGAAGAATATATAATTCGTGAGCGAAAAATACGAAAGCATGGACTTTTTTTTATACTTAATGTTCTATAAAGCATTAGAGCAGAAGCGTCGCTAAGTGCTTAAAAGATTCGGGGCTCCGCCCCATAGGCGCAGGAATTTTCGGCATTTCATTATGATATCGATCATGGTTTTCTGTTCTAGTTTTTCAAGACACCAACTGTGGATTCGGGGTATTGTCAAATAGAATAGAGGTTCGGGCCCTGTGTGCCAGTGCTTAGTGATAGAGATATATCTTTTAGAAGGAAACTTCCATACAGTTGTAATTGCATCGTATTACAATGTTAGAGAATTAGAAATAGGCTTAACTCTCTAAGATGTTATGCATCTATCATAGGTGACAGAACCAGAGGAGCACTGGAGGCATGTGCTCTAATCATCGGTAAGCACCCTCCCCCCCAATTTAAATATGTTTCACCTCCCATGGTTAAACAAGTCAATTATTATAACTGAAGGCAAACTGGTTTTTTGTACAGTAGGTTTTAATTTTGATGACGTTAAATTTCTTGACAACAGTAGGTTTAGTAAATGGGTCTCTTTACTATCAGCTTGATTTTGTTTTATGTCTCCATTAAAGTTAGAGGTAAGTTTAGGGACATCAACGCTGATGTCCATTGTATAGTTTTGCGCAGAAAAACAAAACAAATAAATTATGTTTCATAGATTTGACAAGATATTAAAACGTAAGATTTTTAAATATCCACACAATAACAGAAGGATATTCATTTTTCTATTATACAGATCATTTATGAAAAGAGAAATTATTTTGTCTAATTATGCTGAATGTTAACGTTGATTTTAGTTGGGGTTTCGACGCCTTGATAAAAACAAACATGTTTTGATAGCAACAGCACGAATTTCGATGCCTTGTACGTCTACCATTAAACGATATATCAAGTGAGAAATATATTTGAAGTGTTTGTTGGTAATTTAGCACAAAGCTACATAATTGGCTATATGTGTTTTGTCCACCGCGTGTATCGAAACCCGGATTCTAGCGTTGTAATTCCGCAGACATACTGCTGTGCCACTGAGGGGCGCTTTGAAATGAATGAATAAAAGCACAACAATATACAAATCTACACTTTTACATTTATAGTTTCAAGCCTTCTAAAATGTTTAGAACAACAAATCGAATAACTTGTACATTGGCGGCGGAAAATATTGGGGAGGTGGGGGAGACCGAACCTGCTATGTTAACGGCGACCATTGACTTCAAAATTGAAACAGTGAGATTCTATGATAATTATACACAAGTATTACTCTCCATTCAAAGAGGCACTTCGCTGTTACCGGCTCAAAATTTGAGGGCTCGTACATTCAGTGCCCCACCCCCGCCCCCAGCTAGTTATGCCGCTTCACCAACCAAATTATCACTAGAACTTTTTCCAAAGATTACATTCGGAAACAGTTTAATATTTGTAACAGGTTTATCCTCCCAAAATATAGAAACTTGAGTATATTTGATATTGTTTCCGTATCTAAAATCAGATATTTAAATGATGCACAACACGCAAGCTTTACAACTGTAAGAGGACCAAACTGTATTGAAATACAAGTAAAGATAAATATGTTTATGTTTTGTGTTTTATCTTTTATGTTTATTTACCTTGAAAACCGTTTCAGAGCTACAGATATTTTCCTTAAAAACAAAAAGTGGTATTGTCTGTCCGAATCTTCAGCTAAATCAATAAGAACATTACATATCACAGCAAACCGGTCCATTGAATTTCTTACAATGACTTTTTAAATAATAACAATACGAACAAACATTTATAACTACCATGAATTAATTATATAAGGTTAGTTTCTTTTTGTTTTTAGTTTACACATAAATAACCCTATAGATTGTTTGTTATGAATTTCGCGCAAAGCTACACGAGGGCTATCTGCGCTAGCCGTCCTAATTACCAGTGTAAGACTAGAGGAGGCAGCTAGTCATCACCACCCACCGCCAACTCTTGGGCTACTCTT